AACCGCTATTCTAGGAATCACAGTTGCGAAGCTGCCGCCCCTGGGGGTGTCTGTAAGTGGTAGTGAAGCTGTTTAAAGCACACGTTCAAATAACAGCCAGGTGAGGGAAACCGAGGCAGGTTTGGGTCACGTGGGCAGCAAACTGGAGCCGGATAGGGAGAGCAGAGAGGTCGACTCTTGCCATCACGGAGGGGAGGGGAGGGGACCGCCAAGGCCCTGGGGACCCCGAGGGTTGGGCCCCAACAGTTTGGGGCCAGACTTTCTTGGGGAGCCCCCGCCCCCACAGCCCTGCTGGTCTCGCAGGCACAGGCCCCTCACAGCGGTGGTCAGGAGGCGTCTCCCGGGAGGCCAGCTGGCCTCGTGGGCCGGCAGGCCCTGCCACACCGTCCTCTCTCCTCTGCTGACTGGCTGCCTCGGGCGAGTTCACTTCTGGAAGAGAACTGGGTGGCTCTGGGTCGTGAAGCGTTGAGCTTTAGGGGCTCCATGTGTCCTGGGCTTCAGCACAGCGGATTTTCTGGAAGGTGCCCGGGGGACAGGCCACTGACTGACGTGTCCACAGGACATCTTGATGAACCCCACGCAGGAACTCGGGCACCCAGCGGTCACTAAGCCTGGCCGAGGGAATTGGCGTCCTCGGAGGGAGTTCCAAGGATCCGAGTTCCCAAGGCCGGGGCAGGGGAAGCCACCACTTTAGCATGTCACCTGCTTGCTGCTCAGTGCTCGGTCTGCATACAGCCTTCCAGGCGTTTCTTTCTGTCCCGACTTCTCCCCAGTGGAGGCGTTGGATGGGACATGCAGAGGAGGAAGGGGGAGGGTGGCCGCTGGGGGATGGGGAACTGTTTCCAGGACTAGTGGCGGCAGTCGGGGATGCGTCTCGGCGTCGGGGGGTCTCTCCACTGCTGCCTTTCTGTCACTCTAATGGCCATTTTGGCTTAGGGGGAATTCGTGAAGAACATCCCCATGAACCACGGTGTGTACACGTGGCTGGACGGCAGCACCTACGAAGGGGAAGTGACAAACGGCCTGAGGAACGGATTCGGGATGTTCAAGTGCAGCACGCAGCCCGTGTCCTACATCGGCCACTGGTGCCATGGCAGGAGACACGGGAAGGTGGGTGAAGCAGCCACGCGACGGCCGGCTGGGAAGGAACGGACGGTCACGGAGGGTGGGAAGTGCGGGCGGTTGACGTAAATTCACTGTTTTGTTTATCGAGGCGAAATCCGCATCCCATGATATTAACCATCTAGCGTAAGCAAGTCAGCGGCATTTAGCACATTCACCATGTCGTACAAACACCGGCTCTGTCTGGCCCCCAAACATTTCTGCGCTCCGGAATGAACCGCATCCATGACCGTGAGGTGGTGCCGCCCCAACCCCCCGCCTTCCAGTCCCCCCCGCCTGCTTTCTGTCTCTGCGAGCCTCCACGGGTTTACCCATTCTGAACCTTTCACGTGACTAGAATGGTACAAGAGGCGACCTTTCGTGTGGAGAGACCCCCTGATGCCGAGACGCGTCCCTGACTGCCGCCACTAGTCCTGGAAACAGTTCCCCATCCCCCACTTCTCCCGCCCAGGCTGGAGGCATGTCATCCCTCTTTATGGCTGAATAATAATTGTTATTCATAATAACAACGTTTATCTGTTGTGGGGCGTGTGGGCTGTTTCCATCCTTTGGTGCCTGTGACTAGTGCTGCTACGAACGTGGACAAGGACTCGTCTAGGTCCTTCGGTTCTTTCGGGCGTGTACATAGGAGTGGGATCGCTGGGTCACATGGTGACTCCGCGGTTAACACTTTGAAGAACTGTCAAACTCTTTTCCACAGTGGCTGCACCATTTTACAGTTTCCTGGCAATGCAGGTTATTTAAATTCCCTCTTAAGCAAGGTGGTTGTTTTTGGTACTGTCGTTTAGTTTTTGTATGGGATGATAAAATGCTCGGCAATGTTTTTCGAGAATATCATAAGAAAAATTCAACCGTTATAATCATCCCTTTACTCAGATTTAATTGTTCCATTCTGTTCTGTTTGTTTGTTGGTTGGTTGGTTTGTTTTAGCTCATAGCAGATCAGCTCAGACATATTGGAGGGGTTGGGGATGGTGATTTCTAGATGGAGGCACCTTACAGCTGCTCGAAGAAACAGGTCAGCTTGATGATGAAGGAGAAAATCTGCAAGTCACACACACACACACACACACACACACACACACTCACTCACACTCACACTCACTCAGAGATAAATCAGTGAATAAACAAGCAATTTGAGGCCATTCGGTGCAGATCTGAATACCTTGCCCCGTGGCTGGTCCCTTACGAGGGAGCCATCAAAGACAGGTGATCGAAGACAGGTTATGCCGTGTTCACTTATCCTTGGAGGCAGTAAAGTAAGCTGCCAAAGTGGATAAGATAAAAATGCATAGTTTAGACTCCTTAGATTCATATATATATTTTATCTTTACCTTTAAAAAAGCGTTTGTTTTATGAGGATTTTAAAAAATGATCTTATTTGTTTTAGGGCTCCATTTATTACAATCAAGAGGGTACCTCTTGGTACGAGGGGGACTGGGTCTACAACATCAAAAAGGGCTGGGGAATAAGATGGTAGGTATCATCGCTTCTCGTCTGGGATGTGGGCCCAAACGGTGTCACTTAGGCTGTTTAAAGGTGAGTTGCAGAAATCAGGGAGCACGTCGTCTACGTGGGCAGGCTGGAATATTTAAATTAGCCTCAATATAATCTCCATGGCGATGAAAATATGCTACGGAAAATTTAGGAAAGCATCGTAATAAATGATGTCTAATCGTTCTGTTTTTACTGTATGGTGTGTAGAAACTGCCTTTCTTCAGTTTCTGTGTTAATCAGGGCTCTCTGATTAGTTTTATAGTTTCTGAAGAATGCTAACACATTTGCTCGATTTTAGATTGAGCTAACAGAGTCAGATATTTTAAAGATTAAAATATTTGGGGGCAAAATATTAACTAATCATAGTACTCCACGGAATTCTTTTAAAAAGATTTTAAATCCCTGCTCCTACCCATTTTGTCAATTTAATAAATGATCGGAAAGTTTCAGTGCTTAATTCTCCCCCCTAAGATGATTATTTTTACCGACCACAAGGCTCACCCATCGAATTTAAATACTTGGCTTGGATATCTAGAACAGTTAAAAGAAAGTCTTGAAGGTAAATGTTGCATAGGACATAACTGATGGTTTTCAATTTTTTTCTTCTTCTTCTTTTGTCCTAGTTACAAATCTGGAAACATATACGAGGGTCAGTGGGAAGACAACATGCGCCACGGGGAAGGCAGGATGAGGTGGCTGACCACTAACGAAGAGTACACTGGCCGGTGGGAGCGAGGCATCCAGGTACCGCGCCCGCTGGCTTTGGAGGCGCGGACGCGGAGGCGGACGCTCCGCTGCGCCACAGCACATCTGTTATTGGGTGGGAGTGTGGTCTGCTAAGTTTAGAAACTCAATTAGGATTCACTGGTCTCAGCCAGCCTTGGTGCTGCTTTGTTATTTGGTTCTCTCTAGAGGTCTTCCACACAAGCTGGGTTCTGCCATTGGTGAAGCCATAATGCACAGGGCTCCCGTAAGGACCGACACCGTGATTCACTCATTAGAAGCTGTGCGCTTGCACAGAAAAGCTTTATGTAGTTAATGACATACAGTTTGTATAGCTAGGATCTTCTGATGATATCTTGTGTGTATTAATCTGGTAACCAGGGACCTTGCAAAACTCATGATAGTTCTAGTCATTTCGTTGCAGATTCTTTGAGATTTTTTTATGTAGACAATCATATTGTCTGTAAATAGCCCACCTTGCACCTCTCTTTCTAACCTGTGTGCCATTTGCCTCTCTTGCCTCTTCATTGGCTAAGCGCTGCAGTGTGATACTGAATAGGAGTGGGCAGTGTATATCCTCACATCATTCCTGATCTTGGTGGGAGAGAATTCAGTCTTTTATCAAGGGTGATGTTAGCTGTAGGTTTTTCATAGATGCCCTTTATCAATCAGATCGAGGAAGTTTTTGTTAGTTTTTAATTTACTTACAGTTTTATTTATCATGAATGGACGTTGCATTTTTGTCCGATGCCTTTTCTGCTTCTAGGTAGACGATCGTGTGGTTTTTCTCCTCTAGTCTGCTGATGGGTTGAATTACACTGATTGGTTTTCAAATGTTGAACCATCCTTGCATTCCTGGGATAAACGCAACTTCGTCACGATATTATCTCTTTTATATCTTGATGCATTCGATTTCCTAATACTTTGCTGAGAATTCTTGTGTCTCCGTTCATGAGGGATTTTGAGCTATAGTATTCTTTGTCAGCTTTCAGTCATCAGGATAATGTTGGCCTCATCAAATGAGTGTTCTCTTTTCTTCAGTTTTCTGAAAGTTTGTTACATTGGTATTATCTCTTCCTTATCAGGTTAGCTGAATATGCCAGTGAAGCCTTCTGGGCCGGAGTTATCCTCGCGGGAAGATTAACTATAAATTAACTATATGTTAACTAAAATGTATTTCTTTAATAAATAATATGCTAGTCAAGTTATCCATTTCTTCTTGAGTAAGCTTTGGAAGTTTGTGTTATTGAAGGACACGATCCTTCATAGAAATTGTTAAATTTATTGGCATAAGGTTGATGAGAATATTCACTTAATATTTTAACATACGTGGGATCCATACGGATGTCCCCCCTCTCGTTTGATATTAGTAACTTGTGTTTTCATCAGTCTTGCTAGAGATGTATCGATTTCATTAAAATTCTCAAAGAGCCAGTTTTAGTTGATTTTCTCTGATGTTTTTCAGTTTTCACTTTGATATCTGCTCTCTGTTAGTACTTTGTTCAATTCCCTGCTTTCAATACTTTTTGCTGTATACCCAGAAGTTACAGAATGGTATATATAGAATCATTCCATTGTTGAAAAAGTTGTGTGTATATTCATATGCACATATAATGTGTCGAGTTAGTATATATGATAAATATATGCCTGGGGAAAATACAGACGAATGCTCAAACCCAAGCAGTGGTCACTCTGGACAGTGGAATTGAGGAGGGGGTATTTCTATCAATCTGTATGTTAAAAATAAATAACATTTTAAATGACAATGAAAATAATCAGTACCAAGCCAGGCATTTGCTATGAACTGTCTTCAATCTTTATACCCAACCTTCAGGGTTGGTGTTATTTCCATTTTACAGGTGAAATCCAGAGGATTTAAATGATTTGCCTTAGGTCCGAAGGCTGGTTAGTGAGTAGCTGAGCCAAGACTGAACCCAGTTCTGTATGACCCCAAGGTCTACGTTCTCTGCCTCTTCAAACGAGTCATTGCATTTAATCCATACTTAATTGCAAATGGGCTCAGGTAAAAAGAGGTGCTACTTTGAGCATATCTCATGGAAATTTCTTTCCTTTTCAGAATGGCTTTGGAACCCACACGTGGTTTCTGAAGCGGATCCCCAACTCCCAGTACCCTCTGAGAAATGAGTACATAGGAAGCTTCGTGAACGGGTACCGGCACGGCCGTGGGAAGTTTTACTATGCCAGCGGGGCCATGTACGAGGGAGAATGGGTCTCCAACAGAAAGCATGGCGTGGTGAGTGCAGCCCTGTGAGGAGCGTGTTTTGAAGATTAGGTGAAGTGCTGGAAATACGGTAAAAGGTGTGACGTTCTCTACCCGGTAAAGCGCATTATCCGTTCTGCATAGGGTAACTTACTGTTTCATTAAGAATTTTAAAATAATTGCCAACATATCGATTTCCTGTATATTTAGAGGTTATTTAATTAGTTTGTGGTGAGTGTGTGTGTGTGTGCGTGTGTGTGTGTGTGTGTGTTTGGGTGGTTTTGGTTGCAAGTAACAGGAAATCTAGCTTAATCTTCCCTGAATGATGACAACGTGGGCTTCCGGGTTGGTTTGATTCAGCAGCTCGGTGATGTCAAGGTTCTTCCTCCGTGTATCGATGATGTCCCCTGCCATGTCAGCTTCACCCTGATGCTGCCCCTCCCTCATGATCGCAGTATGGCTGCTGTGCTTCCAGACTTCACATCCACACACCGCGCCAAGTAGAAGGAGAGAAGAAACTTTCTCGAGAAGCTTTCCGCAAATGTCTTGAATGTCACTGAGCTGAACTGGGTCATTTGCCCGTCTCCGACTCAGACTCACTATTGGCCTGGGTTTGACAAATCTCAAGAGAATCCCTAGACCGTGATGGGCATTCTGCTGGTCGCTAGCGTAGTTTAATATACATTCTGTGACCTACGGGTGCTTAAAGTTGGGGAGAGGACGTGGGGCAGATACAGCGAGAAGAGAGGAGGGGAGGAGAGGAGAGAGAGAAGGAGAATCAGGAGGTGGAGGAGGAGAGAGGGTTTACACAGGGACACGAGACTCCGGGAAGCCGATTACCTGTGGACTGAGTGCATATCTTAAAAACAAAACCCCCAAACCCTTGAAAACGCTGTCCATGTACGCTTACCAACGGTTTTCTAAGAGAACTTTTCCTGCCCTTCCAAAGTCACGTTTCTCTCTGCAGGGCCGACTGACGTTCAAGAACGGGCGTGTGTATGACGGCCTGTTTGCCAACGACCACATAGTGGAGTTCCCAAACCTCGACGCTGAACCGATAGATTATCCAGACCTGTCCTCAGAACCTGCCTCTTGGAGCCAGTGTCTAGCATCTTCCACCAGTGCTGGTAGGGAGTGTTCACCTGTCGGTAGAAAGTAAATTAATCTATATTATCTGTGGTATCCAGCTATCAAAACATACCTGATACTTCAGAAAACAGGAATTTCCCATGAGCAACTGCTTTCTCAGTAGGTTTTTTTCCTGAATACGCTCGTGTCACACTTGTGTGGAAAATTATTTTGACATAACGTAACGCTGGAGAAATTTGAACAGTGCTTTTCACAGTTATCCCCTATATCTGCCTTTATTTGCTAGAAATCATCAGAAAGCTGGATGGCAGTGAAAGTAATTCAGTGTTAGGATCGAACATCGAGCTGGACCTAGATTTGCTGCTGAGCACGTACCCCAAGAAGGACCAGCCGGAGGAAAAGAAGCAGGTAAAAACCTTTGTCCTGTTATCAGTTTATATTACAGGCTTAAATATTCGCCAGACTCCTGGGAGAATAAGGCTGATGACTGCCTTCATGGACTGACTTTTACGTGCCTGACGGATGCTTTGAGCGTTATCATTCCGGTTAATTTGCAAGGCAACCCTGGGAGTGAGCAGGCTTTGTGAGGGAACGGAAACTCGATGGTGGGACTTGGGGACTCACTCAGAGCCTCAGAGCCCAAAGGGTCGAGTCACCTCCACTCCCAGACCTGTCTGAGAGCTTAGTTTGGGGCCGCCTTGCCCCCGCAGGACATTAATTTTGCTGTGCGTCATCACGGGGCTGATGGGATTCAAAGACCTTCAAACCCTCAGAAATTGTTAGAATCTAGAAATCCTTAGAGGAAAAAAAACTACCTGTACCTGGAACTCATACGATTAGCATGCGGCAAATCAGAGCCACCATATCACGCTCTGGTGTCTTGGCCCAGCTTTGACCGGGGCTTCGTATGTTTCTTCTGTGAAACTGCTATTGACGGTGTCTGCGGCGAGAGCCGTGGGGACCTCAGAAGGGCAAGGCATCCCTGCCCCTGCTGCCGTCCTCACTGCCACCTCACCTGGCTCCCCGTCTCTGGGCCTCTGAAGCGTCATCCCTCATCGCCCGCCCTCCCCTCCTCTGTCTCCCGGCCAACCCTGTCGCTCACCTCATCTGCTGCAAGATTCTTGTTAAAAACAGGAAACTTTATTACGTCCTCTAGTTACAAAAGTCGTACATGATACTTAGAAAATACAGATCAGGAAAAGAGAAACTCCACCCAGACGAAATCTCGTGACCATTTTTCTAGTTTTTTTTCCCTGTGCAAACCTATCTAGAAATGGATCGTTCTGTTCATATAATCTGTCTATCTGCATGTAGTAGTTAATGACAACTATTCAGAGCCATTAAGTATTCTCCTACAATATAATTTTCAAATGAATAAACATACATATTGATTTACCAAAAAAAGGATCATTATATTATTCTAGATATTTGTACACATATATATATATATTTTGTTTTACTTGCATATCATTCATTTTCTACATTAGAGTTCTTTCTATGCCAAAACATGGGTCTTTTAAAAACTCTATTATAAAACATATCCTGTTTTATAAGTGCAAAAGTCACTCATGTGCTCACAAAAATTCACACAGAAATATATGACACAGAAAGTGAAAGATTCTGCAATTCCATACTTTAGGAATCCCTTTAAAAATGTTCAGTCTACGGCCACGCCCCCCTGAACAAGCCTGATCCCATCTGGTCCCGGAAGCTAAGCAGGGTCGGGGCCTGCCGTTCACATAGGAAACTATCACATAGCACCAAGAATTGCATTGTCTAGCTACCAGCGCGTTTTTTACTATAATTCAGAAACTGCACTTTATTGACCTGTGGATGGGTCAGTAACATTTACTGAGCTCTTACAGAGGTAAATACTATTACTTCGCATGTTATCTCATTTGATGTAGAAAACAGGTGTTTCTTTTGCTTTTGTTCTCACTGGGTGAGAGTAAGAGATGCCCGGCTTTCTCTTTTCAGGTAGAATATGCTGTCTTAAGAAATATTACAGAATTAAGGAGAATCTATAGCTTTTACAGCAGCCTAGGATGCGATCGCTCGCTGGATAACACCTTTCTGATGACAAAGCTTCACTTCTGGAGGTTTCTAAAAGATTGCAAGTTTCATCACCATAAAATAACTCTTGCTGATATGGACAGGGTATTAAGCGGTGAGTAATCCAGGTCCTTTGGGATCTTGTAAATAAAGTTTGATTGAAATGCGGCCATGCCCGTTTGTTCACATCCTGTCTGTGGCTGCTTCGGCCCTGCAACACTGGATTGTGACAGAGATTTTCTGGCCCGCAAAGCCTAAAATATTTACTGCCTGGCCCTTGGCAGAGAAGTTTGCCTAGCCCTGATCTATAGTAAAAACACCCTAAATTGTCAGGTCAGAAGCAGAGAGGGTCAGGGAGAGGGTGGAATAGCCTGAAAAAGGCCTTAGGTAGCCTTGGGCTTGGTCTTGATTTCAAGTTAGAAAATTCATGCCATAGATTGAATGACTTTGAAGGTTTTGCTCCTTTCAGTTGAATTCTGGGCGGCAGGACCGAAAAGCCTCAAAGTATCTACTTGGAAAGTAAAATATTAGAACTAATACCTGTTTACATCAAATTTAAGCGTTTGAAACAGACTCCACTTAGAATGTACGTAGAATCGGCAGCATGAATCAAACCGTGGCCCGGACCACTCTGAAAAACAGAGACACAGGCTCGTGAAAGTTTCTCGTGAAGCGATGAAGGTCTTGCGCGTGGTGCTTAATTTTTAGGTGGACGCATATGTACCGTTCAGAGTGTTCTTGAGGGGAAAAAAGTACTCTATTGGATTCAGTTCTTTGAATTGCACACCAGGAACAACTAAAAGAAAAGTTTCTAGAAAACAGCAGGCAACCTCTCCGGTTTTCTTATTCTAGCCAGTATGAACATACCAGTTGAAGAAATTCATTCTCCATATACGACGATACTTTTGAGAACATTCCTGAATTACCTCCTGCAGTTGGCTTACCACATTCATCACAAAGAATACCAGTGAGTACGACTTCTGGACACGCCCCCCACGCCCCCAGCCCCGTGACGGGATGGGGGCAGAGCTAGCCCTCAGTCTGACTATAATGTCCTCTTTCCTTGGGCGGGCGTTCATCGTAATTTTTACATACTCTTGAAACGAAAGACTAGAAACAAAAGTTTTCCATGAACATGAACCGCAAAACCATGCGACACAAGCTTAAAATTCCCAAAGCCCTTCAGATCCGAGTCATGTTTCAGCGCGGCAAATAGGTCTCAGGGTTTTTACTCAGAAACAGCCACAACCAACTCTTCCTTAGGCCAGGATGTCCTCCTGTCTTTTTTGGAGCAAAACTGATATTGTATCTTTTTAAAACCTTTTCATTTTGAAAGCATTTTTGATTTACAGAAGTACTGCCAAGTGAGTAGAGTTCCTTACACACACCCTTCGCCCCGGTAGCACCTTACAGAACCACGGTACTTATCAGAACTAAGGAACTAACGTGGCCATAACGCCATTAACTAAATTACAGACTTTATTAGGGTTTCCTGAGTTTTCCCACCGATGTCCCTTTTCTGTTTCAAGATCTAATCCAGGATCCCGCATTGAAGGTAGTTGTCACATCTCAGTCCCCTACAACCCGTGATAGTTTCTCAGACTTTGTCTTTTATGACTTTGATGCTTTTGAAGAATATCGATCAGTTATTCTGTGAAATGTCCCTTGATTTTGGTCTGCTTTCGCATTATTACACTGAGGTTACTGCGGGTTTAGGGGAAGAATACCAAGGAGGGGGGGTGCCCTTCTCGTCACTTCGTATCAGGGTATGTGACGTCGATCTATCTTATTACTGGTGGTATTAGCCTTGGTCCCTGCTTAACGTGGCGTCAGCCAGGGTTCTCCTATAAACTTCCTATTCTTTCCTCTCTATACTCTACCCGTTGGAAGCCAGTTGCTGAGTCTCCCCCACACTCCAGGAGGTGACCTGCATCCCACCTTCTGGAGGGAGGAGTGACTGCGATATCTTTGCAATCGCAGGAACAGAAGCCCATCGCTGTTTTTGTGTTTCACAAAACTGATGGCCGAGAACATTCATCCAAATGCCTGCCGCGTGAAAGGTAAGCACCGAACCAGCAAGGTTACATTTACCGCTGTTTTTTCCAAATAGAATTTTGTAATTACTTTTTGAGTATCTATTCATTCATCCCATTTCTAGGCAATTTTTTCAACGGGCAACAGCAGGCACTCTATTTGATGAATTATGTTGATAAGTGCTGGGAGATTTACACGGCTTACTGCAGACCGAATCCGGCTCCTCCCCACGAGCTTACGATGAAGATGAGACACTTCCTCTGGATGCTGAAAGTAAGCGCTCGCGATCGATACTTGGTTTTATATTTATGGGCGTTTTGATTTTAATTAAAGGCAAAATATTCATGTTTACTGGGCCTCTTTTGGCAAATGTAGTTCCAGTGGTCTATGGTGGCGGAAGGGTGGAAACGGGGGTCGCGCCTGCCCCTGCGTCCCCCAGTTAGGGGAGGGGTACAGCTGGCGGGCCTCTGGTATCTTTACTGACGCAGACCTTGCCACTTAAAGAGGGGGGATGAATGTCATGTTTAGAGATTATCATTCATCAAAGTAATTTAAAAAGTTACTAGTGTGGAAAACAGTGAGGATGTCTGTTTTATACAATTATCTCATATTAACTATTGGTAGTTTTGTTTCATGGTATTTTTCATACTTGTGGGAAGATAAATGATCAAAGAACTCAGTGCTAATAGGGGATAGTATGAAGAAATTTAAGAAATGTTTTGAGAAAATTAACAGTGTTGTATACTTATGAAAAATTGACAATAACCTAGTGTCTAACTATAGGAAAACGGTTTTTTTTAAATGTATTGGGGGGTGGAATATTATACAGCTGTGGATTTGTTCACTTTCTCCCGTTCTTCCTGGTCTCGTTATTGAAGAAATGAGGTCGTTTGTCCCTATAGATTGGTCAGACATCCAGTTTAGGTTGGCCGTATCCTCAGAGTGAACGTGTTTCTCTTTTCCCCATATTTCTATTAAAACAGTAGTTAAGAGTTAGCGGCTTGACTAGTTTCCATTGTTTTTTCCTCTCTGACAGAGCCCAGGTGGTGCTGTGTACCCCTGTCACAGCACGTCAGGAACGCTGACGTGTGTGGTGTCCGCACGGTCCTTCCGTTAAACCTTCCCCCTAAACCTTGTCGAGCAGCCCCTGACGGTCATTGCTGACATCCGTTATTTCACTGAGGGCCCCACGATAGTAATTTGCTAATTCTAGCATTCCTTCTGCATTTATTAGCTGTGAATCTTATTGAAAGACATTTACATCATCAGCTACTTGATTACTCTGAAATATAGTTCATACGGGAAAGGAGGGGTAAATGTTTGACTTTTTTCTCTTTTATCTTCAGAAAATGATTTGATGTTCTTCAAAAGTGATTGATGAGCTTTAAAATATATCATTAACTCCTGGATTTATACATATTTGGTGTGTTTCAATCAATCGATTGCAGTCATTTCTTTTCTGATAGTCACATTTTCCCATCTTTGGCCAGTAAGAGTCTCTTCAAGTCAGCACCTGTTACCTCGAATCTATGGATCGATGTCGTTGATCAGTTTAAAATTTCTTCCACCGTTACTTCTTTAGTCATGGCTTCTGAACCATTTTTTTTCTCTCTGGGACTCTAGCTAAAATATTTTAGAGTTTACAACACTGTATCCTCTATTTCTTTTACGATTTTCCATTTTTTTCTGTGCTTCTCTTACTCAGCATATTTTGAGACCCATCCACGTTGCATGTATCAATAGTTCCTTTTTATTGCTGATAGCATTCCATTTGATGGATATGCCATGATTTTTTGTTTATCCATTCACCTGTTGATGGACATTTGGGTTGTATATAGTTTGTGGCTGTAATGAATAAAGATAGTATGAACGACGGTGTACAGATTTTTCTCTGGCCATTGCTTTCATTTCTCTGAGATAAATGTCTAAGATTGTAGTTGTTGGCTTACATAATGAGTATTTGTTTAATTTTTAAAAAACTGTCAAACTATTTTCCAGAGTGGCCAGACCACTTTATATTCCCGCCACAATACTGGCCAATATCTCTCCTTTAATTGGTGTATTTAGACCATTTACATTTCATGTTTATTGATATGTTAGGTGTTAAGTCTGCCGCTTCAGTTTTAGATTTTTTTGGTTTGTTGTTTTTCATTTTTCTTTTTCTCGTCTTCCTGTGAGTTACTTGAAAATTTTTTTCAAATTTCACTTTGGTTTACCTAATAGTGGTTTTTAAAAATATCTGTCTATAAATAGATATATTAGACTTATCAGAGCCAACAGTCCTCTTTGGGCACTTGAAAAATGCTGTGCCACTTCCTTCTGGTTGCCATGGTTTCTCAGGAGAAATCTGTCGTCTGAATTTTTTCCATTAGAGGTAAGATGTGGTTTCAGTCTCGCTTCTTTCAAGATTTTTCTTTGTCCTTAGTTTTCAGAAGTGTGACTATGATATGTCTTGGTGTAAATTTCTTTGGGCTTATCTTCTGTGGGGTTTATTCACTCAAATTCTTGGATCTGTGGGTTTGTGTTTTTATCAAATTTGAGATGTTTTCAGTCATTATTTATTCATGTACTTTTTCAACCCCACCTTCTTTCTTCTCTCCTCTGGGACTGTGATGACATGAACGTTAGGTTTTTTCTTACAAGCTCACGGGTTCCTGAGTCTGAATATTTTTTTTGTGTTTTCTTTCTGTCGTTCAGATTGGATAATTTCTATTCTATTATTAAGTTCCTGGATTCTTTCTCTTGTCCCCTTATTATGCCGTTGAGCCCATCCATTGAGTTTTTAACTTAATGGTTGTATTTTTCTGTTCTAAAATTTCTACTTGATTATTTCTTCTATTTCTTTGCTGAGCTCTTCCATTTTTTTTTTTCCCTAGCATGTCTGTAATTGCTTATTTCAGCATTTTTATGACTGTTTTAAAATCTTCATCGGTTAATTCAGTCACCTCTGTCATCTCGGTGCTGGCAGCTATTGTCTTTCTCATTCCATTTGAGATCTTCCTGGTTCTTGGCATAATTAATCAGGGATTTGCTCTTGAAACCTGGACATGTGACTATGTTGTAAGACTCAGTCTTGCTTAAACCTTATGTTTTTGCTGGCTTTTGATAAAGTCTGATTTATTTTATCTTTTGTCCCTCGAGCTTTGGTGTTGTGTCTAAGAATCCATTCCCACATCCAAGGTTTTGAAGATGAACCCCTATTTTTTCCTTCAAGTTTTATAGTTTCATCTTTCAGATCTTTGATCCATTTTGAGTGTGTGTGTGTGTGTGTGTGTGTGTTTTCCCTGCACTTTACATTGCTTCTCTCTCTCTATGGTATGATGTAGGGGTCCAGCTTATTTCTTTGGCACGTGAACACTCAGTGTCCCAGCACTGTTTGTTGAAAAGACTCCCCGCCCCCCCACACTGAACAGTGCTGACATCCTTGTCAAATATGAGTTGACACAGATGTATAGGTTTATTTCTGGACTTTCGAGTTTGTTTACGTTTACCCTTGTACCACACTGTCCTGATTCCTGTTGCTTCCCCATCATTTTGATGTGACTTTTTTTCTTTGCTGAAATATTTTATAATCTACTTTTATCTTCGTTCTAAAATTTCACAGCAATGAGGCTTTGGCGTTGGCCTTTTGACACTTATGGTGTGAGCTTTCGCGGCCTTCAGTCCTGCGAAACGTCCTTGAATCGCTTGTTCAATGTTTCCAGCCCGTTTTCTCCACCCTCTTTTTCTGGAACTTGGGTGTCTGACTTCCTGGACCAATATTCATTTTATTTCAGTCTTTTCTCTCCGATCATCCATATTATTGTCTTTTTCTTCTTTAGGAGAGTTTCTGTGATATCTGCCAACACTTCTATTGAATGTGTCATTTCTGCTACTGTATTTCTAATTTCCAAAAGCTCTCCTTTTTTGTTCTTTTTTAAGCATTGTTTAAAAAAACTCTGGATGTCCTCGCTTACTCCCCTGAGGGAATGAATGCCTTGGGGGAGGGGAGCTCAGTGGAATTTCTTTTCATCCCCTCTGTTCCCCCAAACCCTGGTTTTTGTTTCCTCGCCATTGCATGAAAGCTTTCCCTAGAACAAGGTGAGCCTTGCTGTCCACTCACATGTAGGACTGTGGCACTGTAAAGCTGACTTGAAGAAGAATGGCACTTGTCACACGGAGGAACCGAGCCAGGAAACGCCCCAGCGCTCCCCTGCTCCTCCGTAGCCAATGATTCCTCCTGAGATCTTTTCTCTCGGACGGTTAGGTTTTCGAGAAGATTTCTGCTCACTCCTAGCTCCTGGGGGATATGAACCTGGTTTTCACACTTCTCAGAGCAGAGTTGGGGGGATCAGCGAGGAGGGAGGAGCTTCACG